TTGGTGCCATCCATTCTTTTAATTATTATTATTTTATAGATCCGCAACGGTTTTGGTTGGTAGCTCGAAATTTAGGAGCCCGAATGCCCCTAAATTTCCATATAAGGCAACAAAAAAAAAACAAGGCAAAAAAAAAAAAGAAAAAAAAAACAAACTTATCCAGAAAAGGAAATTAGGGCCATTAGGGCCACTGTTTTTAGGGCCACAATTCATTTTCCGATCCGCAAATACCATGTGAATATGTTGATTTGATGCTGTGGAAGAACTAGATCACAAGTCAAAATTGGTCAATAACTCTTTCAATTTCATTTTCAACAGTATTTTATTTTCACAATATCAAAATTTAACAATAGCTCTTCTTTATTCTCTCTCTTTCATTATAGAGCCTACACAAATAATATTTAAATTTGTCATTCTGTAAAAAAATTATATATTTATACCATTGTCAAACAATAAATTTTTTTTGTAATATATAATATGGTCAATTTTCACAATATAATAATTATTTTGACACCAGTCAGAGTATCTAGCCTCAACTACAAAGCATGAGTATTATATGCAAGGAATACAAGGTATAAATAAAGAATAAACAAATATTGAAGGGCAATGGCATCACATGTAATGAAATAAAAGTTTGCCCCAGTTAGATTCGGCTTAAAGGTTCAAGTTTGAGAGGCCATTTTGGCAAAAATCCTCTCTCAAGAAAAGATTGCATAGTGGTGGCTAACATGGCCTATTAAGCCTGGGGCTGTATATTGAATAAATAAAAATTTGAGAACACATAAAAGTGAGATTTATACATTGGCTCACATGTATGGACTCATTTATATTTTTGACATCTGTGATTATTTATGTGAAAACTTTATGTACTCTTAGCACACAATTATTATATAAAAGGCATAGGACAAATTACATGTCCTATTTTAAGGTTTGAAGAAAATATAATTAGGATAAATTATATTTACCTCCTTGTGATTATTTTAAAAAACACGAAATCTCCTTTAAGTTTTATTTGTAACACTTAATACTTTTGAAATTAATATCAAAAATGCAAAAATAAATGTTTTCCATTTAAATTAACTAATAAACATCTCTATTTAAGTGGTGTGTTACCCTCTCTATTCTTATATATATTTGTAAAAATTTAAAAAAATTTAACTAAAATAATTACTCTCAAACCGAGGAACTAGTTTGTCATGTCCCATCCAAACTTAAAACAGTGGGTTTTTGGTTGAGCTGTCACATATTGTGGGAGTCGGTGGACAATGTTTGTTGGTTAAAAGTTAGATGGAGACTTTAAGTGAAATTGGGACCCCCCATTTCCTTTCCTCCTTTTGTCATTTTCCTATCTTAAATTCTCTTCTTCCCACTGAAGATAATGGGGGTATATTTGTAATTCCAACTTTATTTTATAGTTTATAACTTATTTATAATTATCTTGCACAGAATGGTAGATTGTTCCACTTGAAATTTTTTGTCATTAATAAATATATAGAAAAAAAGTATGGTTTTTATTTAAGAAAATGAAATTTATACTTCCCTTTTTTTTACTCACTAAAACATTTTTTTAGTTTAGTGACACTAACCCAGGGATGAGTGGCATTGTGGTTAAGGATTGGGATTTAAATCCCAAGGTCACAAGTTCAATTCTCTCTCTCCCTAGGCCAATCTCCTGGGCGAAGCATAGTTAGTTAGGAGGTTGGATTTCAAGTTGTCTAATCAGCACTTGGTGTGGGTTTAATATTCCCCCGTTGTGCGAGTCCTGACTTAAGCAGAGCTTGTCTTGGGAGGTTGGGACAAGTTCCCAGGTTATAGTCTATGTTCCCACACTTCTCCCGCTGTGCGAGTCCTGACTTAAGCAGAGCTTGTCTTAGGGGGTTGGGGCAAGTTCCCAGATTATAGTCTCCTTGCTCGGAACAGCTAACAGGACACCCTAGTGATCTCTGCAAGGGGCGCTACCTTGGACTTGCGGGAGGGTATGGAGGATTTTCCTGTAACAAAAAAAAAAAAAAAAGTTTAGTGACACTTGAAAGTGTCACTGAACTATTCTTTCAGTGACATTTTTTAATTTTGTGGCGTTTTGAATAAGTGTCATTTATACCCGTGCCACGGTAGATACTTGCAATTGCCACTACACCATTATGGCAAAAAACTTTCAATGACACTTTGATGTCATGATAAACACTATTTGTGACACAATCAAGCGTCATTAGAAAAAGACTTAGTGGCACTTCAGTGACACCTGTAAGTGTCATTACACCATCAGGGTTAAAGACTTTTAGTGATACTTTAATGTCATGATAGATACTATTCGTGACGCTATCAAGTACCATTAAAGAAGACGTATAATCTAAAAAATGTCATTATATGAATTTTTAACAGCGCTTATTATGCCACAATTGATATTTTTAAAAATTTCATAAATGCCACTAAATCCAATACATTTGTGCCATTAATGGATTCAAGTGCCATTGGAGTTTATTCTAGTGATACTTTGTAAAGCTACTACCACTATTATAAAATGCTACTTATATGTTCTTTTCATTGACACTTTTAAAAGTTACAACTAAGCATGTGTAAATGCCTGTAAAAATTTAATCGATTTTATAAACAATTAAATATTAATTGCCACATCCTATATTAATTTGACATCCATTCATCCTGTAATAATAATAAACAAACATTACCACCATAGGATCGTCACACCAAAAAAAAAAAAAAAAAAATTCAAACCACAATCTTTTTTAATCTAAAAATATAAATTTATTTATATTGTAATAAAAATCATAATCAAAATTATAAAATATTCTACCACACTAACAAACTTAAAGCAAAAAAAAAAAATTAAAAGAAAATTATTACCATTATAAATTCTGAAAAGCCATAGTGATATCCATCTTCCGGAGAGACATTATCAAAACAAATTCAGTTCTCAAATTCTCAACTTCACTACTATAAATATTCTTGGCTGGCATCCATAACTTGCGAAATCTGCATCCAAAAGATAAACATATAAAGGTAATTGAAATTATATTAAGTTAATATAAATTTGTTAATGAAATTAGTATTTAAGAAAGAAATATACCACAAATGGAGCAACCAAGCAACATGAGCTCCAATTGCTTGTCTAATTGTTTTGACAAGTCCATATGATCGGATCAAGCTCTTATTAAGGCCTTGTTTGGCATAGACTATATAATCCATCTTTTTATCTTTTTATCTTTTTTCCATCACATCACCTCTCTACTTTTCTGCACATCTTTTCGTAAAAAAACAAAAAGTGCACTTTTTTAGGACACCCCAAACCAACCCTAAGTTTGACTGGCACTTGAACATGTACCTTCTATATTAGTCAGATCCTAGTTCTTCTCCTTTTACTTCTTTAGATAGGTCTGTACATTTAAGTACTCCAATTGCAACTCTTTTTGTTGACCTAATGATACTTTTTAAAACAACTATATCCTCCACCTGTAAATCAAGATTTAACTCCTTAAGTAATTATATAATTACAATTAATAAATAATATTTAAAAAATAAGCTAGTACAAAGTGTCAAAACGAAGATGATCACAACTGAAAGCGATATGCATTTCTCAATTAGATAGCAAGTCACATTATTTACTCACTTAATTGGTTCACCACACTACAACAAATTATATAAAAGTAATTGTAAATCTTTAGATTATATTAAACAATAGCTTAAAAATCAATAATAACCAAAGGCATCAATCAACAACAATCAAAACCATACCCATTTTCAATATCAGGATCTCCTAAACTCAACAATATAAATCAAATATAATTATGAAAAATGACAATCAATTAATTACTTTCAAGTAAGATTTGTTCTCTATAAATTGTCATAAAAATAATGAGTTCCAACACTACCCAACCAAACACCACCAATTAACATACTGCTCACAAAATCCAAACTAAACTAAAACAATTATTAATATAAATAAACAGGAATTTGGGATAGAGCAAAAATTCTAACAGTAATATTAAAAACCACAGGAAACAAATGTGAATGAAGAATTTATAGTTGGTCCAAAAATTCATAAGTCGAATGGCTCGAAACACTCAAAACGACGTCGTTTTGGGTGTAAAACGACACTATTTTAACACATTCGAGCCATTCGAATTACACAAATTCAAAACACCAAATATTTTTCTTTGGCACAAATATAAACAGAGAATTTGGTCGAAATTTACTCATAATAAAACTTTCATACATTAAGGATAAGCATACCAAAAAAAAAATTGAAAAATTTAGCACACACAACTATTACTAAAATATCCTTAATAAATAATTTAATATTTTAAACTTTAAAATTAAAAAACTTTTTATTTGGATGTCACACTACAACATTTTCTTAGTTTAGTGACACTTGAAAATGTCACTAAACTACTCTTTCAGTGACATTTTTTAGTTTTGTGGCATTTTGAACAAGTGTCATTTATATCAGTGTCACGGTAGATATTTGCAAGTGCCACTACACCATCATGGCTAAAAACTTTCAATGACACTTTGATGTTATGATAAACACTATTTGTAATACTATCAAGTGATGAGAGAGAGACAAAGTGGTTGTTAAAAGTGTATTTTTTTATAGCAGATCGATAAATCGAGAAAGAGCTCGATAAATAGAGAAGATGGGAGTAAGAGAGTGAGCAAGGCGAACATAGTGAGGGATAAATAGACAAATAGACAAATAGATAGATAGAGAGAGAAAAGAGTGATGAGTGAGAGAGAAACAAGGAGAGAGAGATAGACAGAAAAAGAGATAGAGAGAAAGAGAGAGAGAGAGATAGAGGGAGAGATAGAAAAAAAGAGAGAAACAAGAGATAAGTGAGAGATAGACAAAAAAAGAGAGAAATAGAGTGAAAAGAGATGAGAGAGAGAAAAAAAAAAGAAATGAGAGAGATAGAGAGATGAGTGAGAGTGACAAAGAGAGAAAACAGATGAGAGAGATAGAGAGAAGAAAGATAGGCAAGTCATTAAGTTTGACTGGCACTTGAACATGTACCTTCCATATTAGTCAGATCCTAGTTCTTCCCCTTTTACTTCTTTAGATAGGTCTGTACATTTAAGTACTTCAATTGCAACTGTTTTTGTTGATCTAATGATACTTTTTAAAACAACTATATCCTCCACCTTTAAATCAAGATTTAACTACTTAAGTAATTATATATTTACAATTAATAAATAATATTTAAAAAATAAGCTAGTACAAAGTGTCAAAACGAAGATGATCACAACTGAAAGCGATATGCATTTCTCAATTAGATAGCAAGTCACATTATTTACTCACTTAATTGGTTCACCACACTACAACAAATTATATAAAAGTAACAATTGTAAATCTTTAGATTATATTAAACAATAGCTTAAAAATCAATAATAACCAAAGGCATCAATCAACAACAATCAAAACCATACCCATTTTCAATATCAGGATCTCCTAAACTCAATAATATAAATCAAATATAATTGTGAAAAATGACAATCAATTAATTACTTTCAAGTAAGATTTGTTCTCTATAAATTGTCATAAAAATAATGAGTTCCAACACTACCCAACCAAACACCACCAATTAACATACTGCTCAAAAAATCCAAACTAAACTAAAACAATTATTATTATAAATAAATAGGAATTTGGGATAGAGCAAAAATTCTAACACTAATATTAAAAACCACAGGAAACAAATGTGAATGAAGGATTTACAGTTATTTAACATTTAAAATATGTAAACCAATAAAAATAAGAATAAGCATGAGAAATGAATACAAGATGTTTCTTACCTAAAATCAAAAATAGTCCTTCGAACACCAAAAGCACCACCTATTTACACCAACATAAGAGAAAACATAGCACAATTTTAAAGAGGTAAAAAAAAAAAAAAATACACCCAAATACCGTATAATACACCCAAAATAAATAAAATCTACAGAGAAGAAATATATAAGAAGAAGCTTGAGAAATTAAGGGAGAACATTTCTTATCTGAATAAAAGAAAAATATTCCTTCCAACACCATGAATCAAATGATCAACTTTTCACTCACAAAATCATAAGAAAATGATAAACATAACATGAATCATAAAAAAATTATAAGAAAATTAGAAACATGAATCATATTTATTAATAAGATGATGAGCCCTGAATCACATTGGAATGGAAACCACCCACAGAATCACAATAGAAAAATTAGCCATTGCTCGATAATAAAATTTATGAACTAAAGTTAATTAGAGAAACTCCTATTAAATTTAGTTGATAGTTAAAGTTAGAAACAAAAGTAGCCTCATTTTTGCTTGATTTCCCTTATTTCTTGCCTTTTAATGTATTAGAAGCCCCTAAAACCATTAAAGAGAAACCTATAGAACTCATTTCATAGAAAGAGACCCATTTCACAACTATTTCAAAGAAATCATTAGGAATGCTTTTTGTGAAGAAGCAAGATCATGCCTCACATTCATAAAGTGAAGAATATAAGACATGAGAGCACTCAGATTACAAGTATTCACAAAGCATGAGGACCAAAGTCCAAAAAACAGAGTTCTCATGTCTACTACAATTTGCCAGTGCTAATGACTAATATCCGAAATCAAAGATGGAAACCATTTGATAAACCCATTTCAGATTCAGAAAATAGAAACAGAAACTATCTAGGAAACCCATTTCAAATAAATTGCACCATTTCATAACTGAAATCAAATCATTTCGAAACTAGTTCACTCATAGAAACCCATTTCAGAAAATAGAGAGTGAAATGGAAGTTTCGTTACCTGTATGGAAATGGTGTGATGGTAGTGATCCAATGGTTGTGATTAAAAAATATATATATATAATCATACTTAATGAAAAAGTGACATAAAAAATAAATAGGATAAATTATAAATACACTTCTTGAGATTTGATTAAAATACAAATTGCTCCATGTAATTTTGAAAATTACATTCGACTTCCTGAGACATCTTTTGATAAATATCATTAAAATAATTTCTTGTGTCAATCTTTTATAAAATGTCATAAAATTGATGCTATTAAATCACATTTTTGTTGTAGCGATGCGGCACTTCTTTATTAAAATGTCACTAAAACCTTGTATGTTTGTGGCTCTGTGACATTTTTTTAAAACGTGCCACCAAATATTCTTTTTGTGACATTTTTAAAAAATGTCACTAGTATAGTATCATTAAAGTGTATTTTTTGTTGTAGTGTTGTGACACTTGTTTATTAAAATGTCACTAAAGCCTTTTATGTTTGTCGTTTTGTGACATTTTTCAAAAACGTGCCATTAAATATTATTTTTGTGACATTTTCTAAAAATATGTCACTAATATAATATCACTAAAATGTATTTTTGTTGCAGTGACTACGATATAAATTAAACATGCATTAAATGAAAATAAAATTCTTGTCTAGTGTACCAATAATGAGGAGATTTTTGTTTATAAAAACAACTTTAACAACGGCCCATATTAATTTAAAAGTTTTGGTGGTGATTTATCAAGAGATCTTGGCTTAATACAATAACAAGAACTACCTATGCCTAACCTTGTTAGGCTTGTGGCATTGGCTTGGACAGGCATGACATGATAGTATTTTATACATTTTACTTATTATAATTATGAAACAGAGCTCTCATAAGATAGGTACCACGATAGATTTTTATTTCATCTTCTTTGACTTATATGTGGAGGGTCTTGAAAATTAAAAAAACCAATTTTAAGAATAAAGAGTGTTGTTACAGTACATATTTGTACGGGGAGGAAATAATTCTCCTCGTATATACCTTTCGATTGCAAAATGTCTAAGATTAATTGGTTGGTTTGCAAACTAATAATGCATCATATTTGAGCTAATTTCTTGCAAGCTCACTTATTTCAATGTTGTACTTGGTAGAATAGACTTCAAATCTAAAGATTTGGAATTGGATGTAATACGAGTTAGAAGTTTGAGTTAAGATGGTTTTCAATTATAATCCCAACACTTTAAACTAACTTTATGAATGGCAAAACACATGAGTCTAACAATTATTATTTTTTTTTTTTTGAATAGATGAATTTCAAAAAGAAAGATTTAATAGTTAACTATTATAGTAGATTAAGGGTTAGCTTAGTGGATAAGGGAGTTGGGGTGCCTGCTGTGCTGGGTGCACAGCAGGCACTATTGTGCAGCCTTATGGGCTTATTTCGAGATCCGTTTTGATGATTTGAATCATTCACATTTTAGAGTATATCGAGTAGAACATACCCGTAAAAAGTTAATCGGATATCGTTAATTCTTTCATCTACTCACATTTGTATCTTAGAAAATAAATGACATTGTGATTTACAGTTTTAAAATGTATACAAATATGAGTAAATGAAAGGGTTAACGATATCTGATTAATTTAATTTTTTACAGGTATGTTCTACTCGATGTACTCTAAAATATGAACGGTTTGGATTATCAAAACAGATCCCGAAATAAGTCCATAAAACTGTACAGCAATGCCTGCTGTGTTGGATGCACAACAAGCACCCCAACTCCGTGGATAAGGTGCTTTCTTATTAAGCGTGATGTTTGAATTGAGTTTTACTTATTTTGTAATGCAACTTCATCTTCTCATATTTTTTTCAAAACCATTTGTACAAGAAAAAAAAAAAAAAAAAAAAAAATTTTTTTTCACGTAGTTATTTCAAATATTTCTTGCCAAAACTTTCAAATTCAATCTTAGAATCTATATATATGCCATCAAATTTAATTTGAGATAATTTTCTTGAATGACTAATGTCAAATTCTTTCCTTCTAAATCTACAAATCCAAACACAATTCTCATTCTCTCACTCAACACACAATACATAAATATCTTTATTCATTTATCAACACACTAAAGATTAACATTAGGGATAAAAGCTTGCGTCCACGATACATTAACCTTCAATAATGCAACATGGTGTGAGTTTTCAAGTCAATTTCTTCTTGCACTATCAAGACCCTTTTTTGGGTGAATACCACTATCATTGTATCAAGACCGATCTTAAAGACTAGCAACATTATATTTTATTACTTGACAAACACATCTAACAACTTGACATGCTAGGTCCAGGAAAGAAGACTAATTCTAAATTAGGAACTAGACTATAGCCCTAGTTACCAATTTGAAATTTTGGATGTCCTTCCAAAACTTCTAGTTCCTAATTCTAAATCTAAATCAGTTAACTTATTAGGCCTGTAGCTCGACTAATTTGTAGACTTATTCAGTGCAATTTATGAGGTACTTATGACTTTCTTCTTCTTCTTTTTTATTTTATTAATATTTTGATAAGTTTATGTCAAGACTCAATATTGTTTGGCATTTAAAAGATAAAATTTATTTAAGTTGATAAAATTTATTATTGGAAAATTACTCTTCTAGCAAAAAAATAAAAATAAAAATTATAAGGTGACAAAAACCAACTGTTAACTTTTTATATTAGATGCTTTTAGCTTAGGGTGACAACAATAACCAACAGTAACATTTTAAAATCATGGACAAATTACATATACCCCTCGAGGTTTAGCTAAATTACAGATACTTTTCTAAGGTTTCGAAAATTACATCATGCCCCCTGACAATTAACTCCGTTAACCAAGATAGTAAATTGACTAAAATCCCCTTTGACTGGTCAGTACTTGTAAAAGGTTTGTATTGTATTGCATTTTATATTCACTTTCTCCATTTCTTCATCTGAGAGAGGGATGGAAGAGGCAATGCAAAGGGAAAAGTGAGGGTATCGTTGTTTATCGTTGGATGCGTAGATCTAAAAGAAGAAGAGACAACGCAGAGAAGTTTAGATCGTTGATTGAAGAAAAAATTGAAATTTGTATGTCTATATTGCTTTGAAACACTGTAAGTGATCCATTTTTACTCTCTCATACTAAGCACTGAAATTTTGGGGTTTAGGATTCTTTGTTCATGATTTTTTTTATAAAAGTTGTTTTAGGATTATTTGCTTACGAAATTTTGTGAGTTTGTATTTTACCCTGTTAAAAAAAATTTAGGGTTTAAAGGTTTGTTTTCAATCTAGTTTAGGGTTTTTTTGGGTTTCTTTCTACCTTTTTTTTTAATTAAAATTTTGGGGTTATAGGGTTTGTTTTCAATTAGTATTTTAGGGAATTTTTTTTTTATATATTTGTTTTCTACTCTTTCTTTTACTAAAATTTTGGGTCTGTTTCAATTAGTATTTTTGGGAATTTATTTGGTTTGTTTTCTACTCTTTCTTTTCTAAAATTTGGGTTTCAATCAATATTTTAGGTGGTTTTTTTGGGTTTATTTTCTACTCTTTTATTTACTAAAATTTTAATGTTGTAATGTAAGCTTGTTGTGCAGATGCCTTCTTATATTCATGAATTTTGTGATGAATTTTTTGTATTTAGGACAATGGTTGATCCCATGGTTCATGACATACTAGTACACTTTAATGGTTCTGTGAGTCACATTTTGAATGTTAATCCTTACAAGTATAACTACATGCAATTGTTGGCTGATGCTTGTGAAGCGACACTCACTAATGTACCTGGGAATTTTGGTGTGGGATTAAATTTGTACTTTACAAATACACACACTAAGAGTAAGATGGAGGTTAAATCTGATCAGGATGTCATTGAAATGTTTACTTCAAATTCTGGTACTAAGGTGATTAATATTTTTCTGGAACTTGATCAACTTTTACCTTACCTTCATTTGTCATAACTAATACTCCTACTAGTAGAGAGGGACACGTGAGTAGTAGTTGTTGGACAATCTTCACTGTATTTAAAAGATTTAATTCTATTGTGTACACAACAACAAATAGAATTTAAAGAAATAAAGAAAAAGAGAGAATTTGTTTGATTACAAAAATCAAACTCGAAATAAAAATAATGGAAATAAATCGGTAGTATTTGATAATTTATTTAGCAATGTGGATGACTACAATGATGTTGATTGGACTGAGTTAAGGCATTTTGAATTTAGTGACGCAAATGCTGATGAAGAAAATGCTTATATCGTTAGTGATGAGGATGATGAGAACACTTCAGATAATGATGAGGGTAGTAATGGGTCAAATGAACCAATTGAGGCTAATGATGAGGGGATATGAGACTATGAATCTGATGATATAAAAGGGAAATATTCTACTGATGAAGAAGATATGCAAGGTGTTAATGTTGACAGATATATATGAAGGGAAAAATGTTTGAAATAAAGGAAGGGGAGAAAATAACATTGGAGAAGGGAATGATATTTGATGATGTGTATCACTTCAGGACTGTGCTCCAGGAATTTGCAATTGAAAGAGGTTTTAAATTGATTAAAATAAAAACTAACAAGAAAAGAGTGACTTGCATTTGTGCTTCCTCGATGTGTGAATGGAGAATTCATGCTTCTTCATTACCTGATGATGTGACATATAAGATTAAGACATTGGGACCTGACCATATATGCGTTAGAGTATAAAGGAATACTAAAGCAACATCATCTGGGATTGCTACGAAGTTTGAAAAAACTCTTAGAGGGAATCCTGGGATCACTTTACAGGCAATGCATGATGAAATAACTGGAAATTATGGATTGGAGACTACAAGGATGCAACTGTACAGAGGAAAGAGGAAAGCCATTAAGGCAATTGAGGGTAATCATGCAAAGGCTTACACCAAACTTCCAATGTATGTTGCAGAAGTGTTGAGGACCAATCCTGGTAGTTTGGTCAAAATTGAAAGGGAAAGAAAGCCACTATCTAAGCCAAACTTACCTCATCTCTTACCAATATTCAAAAGAATTTTTCTTTCATTTGCAGCCATACAACATGGCTTTAAAGAAGGTTGTAGACTTTTCATAGCTATGGATGGGTGTCATTTGAAAAGACCATTTGAGGGCATATTGTTAGCTGCAGTTGGTCTTAATGGAAATAATGGTCTTTATCTTATTGCAATTGCTGTGGTGGAGAGTGAATGTAAAGATAGTTGGGCCTTTTTCCTTTACCACTTGAACAGTATTTTTGGTAATGGCCCCTAAAACATGCCATTGATAATCATGTCTAATGGTCAAAAGGGCATTGAGCCAACCACGAAACAAGTAATACCCCAAGCAACTCATAAGAGGTGTTATAGACACATTTTCAACAACTTGAAGGGCAAATTCTCTGGTTTAAAGATGAAAAGAGCCTTTTGGTCTACAACTAAAGCTTACATTGTCAAGGATTTTAACATTGCAATGGGACAGATGTTGGAGTTATCTTCTGAAGCACATAGCTGGCTTTCTAAATTTCCAATTGAAATATGGGCAAGACACACATTTGATCATAGGGTGAAAAGTGAACATGTTGCCAACAACATGGTGGAGTCATTTAATAATTGGATTGGTAATGTTAGGGGTAAACTTATCTTGACATTGTTGGAAAATATCATATTGAAACTGATGAACAAGTTACATAAGAGGTTTGAAGAGGCAGCTTCATGGCAATCTTTGGTAACCCCTAGCATTAAGAAGAAATTGGATGAAGTGATTCTTCAGTCTAGGCTTTGTAGAGTGACTTTTGCAGGACAAAAAGAGTATCAAGTAGTAGAAGGTGTGGTGTCTTATATTGTGAACCTACAAAGAATGTCATGTTGTTGCAAGATATGGGACATAAGTGGAGTCCCTTGCAAGCATGCAAAAGCTTGCATTACTCATAAGAGGATGAACTTGGAGACCTATTGTGACACAATGTACTAAAAACACATTTATTTTAAGGCATATGCGGAAATTATACATCCAATGCATGATGAGAGTTTATGGGGTCTAGTTCTTGGAGATGAGTTGAAGCCTCCACCTCTTAAGAGGATGCCTGGAAGACCTAGAAAAAGTAGGAGAAGAGAAGTTGATAAGGTTGCACCATTAAAAAGATCATGCACTGTGAGGTGCATCATTTGTAAGGAGATTGGGCACAATAAGAGGACATGCTAGAGGGCACCTATTAGGGGTAGGAAAATGGGCACAAATGAGTCTGCTCAGAGAGGAATTGGTACTATTGTTGAAAGGAGCACTATTGGAAGGTCCACAGCCACTGAGAGGAGCACTGTTGATGTAAGTGTGAATGACAAATGATTGTGTTATTTTGTTTTATTTTTCCACATGGAATTTGAGGCCAACTAATCCAATTCATTTTTTAGGATCATGGACAAGATGGGGTACTTCTAACTCAGTGGAGCATGACTTGAACCATAGGTATGCATGTAATTGCATCATGCATAATACTTAAAATCTATTTATTTGTGTTTATTAATTTGTTGTTCTTTGTTTTTTTATTTTCCATGTGATGCTTTTTGTATAGGGGATGCTGGAAGGAATTAAAGACTAGGGTATACTTTTTTGTGTAATTAGTGGGTATACTTTTCTAACAATGTCTTCATATTAGTACATATCAGAAGGCATGCATCCTTGCTCACCATAGGTTTTTGAATTAGGTGGGCTACTACTCTTTTATTGACTTGTAAAGTTTTTGTTGGACAAGAATTTATAACTAAAATATAGTATTGCAAGGTTTATTTTGGTGGACATGAATATATAACTAAGTTAATATTTCAGACTTGTATATCTAAATTTCTAAGCTAATATTTCAATTTCAAGCTACTTGAGTGCTCTTTGTTCCTTCCATGTTGAAGAGGATTCCATAGTACTTATTTATTACCCAAAAAATAACTGTTCACCCAAAAAAAAACTCCAAAAAATAACAAATTAACTGAATAAGTTGTGAATACAAAATTAATTAATTTAATAATTTATAGAATGCAAAATTAAAATGGAAAAATACTTATCAAATGATAAAAATGTCGTAAAATTAACAAATAATTAAATAAGTTACCAACATAAGAAATGACTTATCAAAAGATTTTTAGGCTATGTATGGTTTGATTTTTAGAAATTTTTTTAAAAAATTAAAAATTAATTTGGTTAAGAAATAAAAAAATAAAAAATAATTATTATTTTTATATAATTTTATCTTTCGAGTGGTTAGAAATAATTTTTTACAAATTAAATACATTTCTTCATATTTATTTTTATTAAATTAGTTTTTATTTTTTTAAAAAAAAGTTTGATTTTTTTTTTAAACAACAAACCAAAGGGATTTTAGGTTAAATCAGGTTGTTTGGTTGTTTTCAACAAAAAAAGAAAAAAAAAATTGTTTGGTGCTTTGGTATGGCTTAAATCAAGGGTCTGGTTGTGTTTCAAAAAAAATAAAAATAAAAATAAAAAAATAATTGTTTGGCCCTTTAAAAGGTCCTAGGGGTAATATGGTCCATCAACATACATTTTGGTGATGTCAGCATAGTTTTCTAACGGTGTAGTTTATGGCAGGGGTCAATCTGTTACGCGAATATAAACATTAGGGATGAGCTGTAATTTCTGAAACCTCAGGGGATATCTGTAATTTAGCTAAATCTCGAGGGGTATATGTAATTTGCCCTAAAATCATTGACTATTCTCACATCAGTCTAAAAATAAATAAATAAATTGATATGGTTATGAATTTATTATTTTCCTTAGATAAGACAAATTCCATTTTATAAAGTGCAAATTTTCATGGGAAATTGACCTATAAATCCCATTTGGCTAACTTGTGAACCTTCTAGTCCCAAATGTTTTGTAATACTCTTAGAAGTCCCAATATGATGTGATTTACGTTTTTGCCGATAAGGTATAATTTTTTAAATTGACCTATAAGGATTGCATATGTTACAGGCCGGTCACGTTTAGAAAAATGCACTATAGTCTTTTATTGGTTGGTACCTTAGTTTTGGCTGCCCACATCACCCCCCATCGTTGGGCCAAAACATATCTAATTTAAAACCCCTCAGATCCACATCCATTTCGGGTGAAGCCCACATTGCTAATCAAACATACAAGCTAGCAAACCACATTGGAACAGGTCATGTGCGACGATGAAAAGGTCTTCCCGTCGTTGGATGACCGGTGAACATATTCCACACCAAAGCCAAGCAACAACCCCGCACACCTCCTATCGCGGGTCCGTTGTCAAACATTTAGTCCAGTTGTGGAAAACATAAAATTCAACAGTAAATTTCATTCCGAATCGAGCTATGATAATTTTAGGGTTTTGCAGGAAATATATCGTAGTTGATTTGGTCTGAAATCCAATATGTGAGTATTGGTATGGTAACCACATAGTCGACCCACATTTGTAGATTTGTTCGCGATTTGTTTCCGGATTTGCAGGGATTCAGTTGGCGGTGAATGGTAATGTGAGCGGTTTCGTAACCAACGGTGATTAGAAAGGAAATAGTTCTGCTAGCGTTGCTGTGTGAAGGTGTGAACACCTTTAATCCGACGATGATGCCGAGGAACGGTATACGTATTTGTGTTTTTTTGTGTTTGGTGTCATGTTTTTGAAATGTAGTTTGGTGGGTTTGTTGTTACTGTATCCATGTTTTTCATTTAGGTGGGATGTACATAATGTTGGTCAAGGATGGGAGGGGTTTGGTGTAGTTAATGTTGTTGTTGGTAGGGATATTACTGTGTGGTTGGGGAGTGGTGTGTGGTATGTAGGATTGAATGTGATGGGGCTGGGAATGATGTTGCTGGGTGTGGTATGTAGGAGGGACAGTGCATTTTTGTATTGGTTGTAATGGGGTGGGGTGGGGTAATAGGTGATGGTGTGGGGTGTGGTGAATGGGGAGGGGGTGTGTGTGATGTTGGGGATTGGGATGGGTTTGGAAGTGTGTGTGATTGTGTTTGAACTTTTTTTCTGGAAAAATGGCTCAGACCCTTAGTGGGGGTGACCCCTACGAGGTGCTGGGGGTCCCAGCATTGTTGTTTTTTCTGTATGGTGGAGACGATGTAATGTGGTTGTGTTTGAACATTACAACATACATACACATCCTTCAAATACACATAGAAACTTGCCCTCCACAAATCGTCTTTCGCAAAGTAGAATTGTAATCAATGGGATTGTCATACTAGACAAATAAGTTACCACAGAGAACCAAGGGCAAACCAGTCACATAATCCGGCCCAAATCAGTCAAATGGGATCTTCCGGATAACTTTACCAACAAAATGAGACTTTTAAGAGTATCAAAAATAAAGAAGGATCTCATGGTCTAAAACCCTCCCAAATGGGATTTTTCCAATAATTTTTCCAATTTTGATGTCAGTAATCTCCACTAGGTGGCTGTTTTAATTAATTAATTTATTATTGTTATTACTCAAAACCGAATTGACAATCCATGAACCAATTAATTTGAGTAAACTAGGTGAAAACTATTCTTCCACTCCAATTTAAATTTTTTTATAATAAACATTATAAATATTTATTATAAAAAATTAGGAAAATGAAATTTGTAAAAATATTATTTCACATGATTGAGTGGAGTAAATGTTTACCTTAACAAATTGTCACCACCAATTATATATAAAAAATATATATATATATACTATATATAAAATTTTGTATGAAATATATATATATGATTGGTTCACGGTAAGGCCGGATTATCATTAAGCTAATTCGAGAATTTAACTGAGTCAAGTTAGTTAATTATTTTTAGATGTAGAATGATGTCACGCTGTTTCAAAAGCCAAACAAATCCAACTCATGTCGGTTCGTGTTGTTTGCCCACTTTAATTTTTACAAAGATATTTATCAGTCGTTTTTCTCAAACAATTTAAAATTAAAAATTAAAAAAAAAGTAAAAGAAAAGTTTATCAGTAGGTAGACAATACTAATACAAAACAAGTGAGTGCAGTCCTCAGCTGGAAAACATAAAAGATTTTTAAAAATAAAAACAAAATAAGAATGAAAAAAGGCTATGATATTTTCACAGATTTGGCACCGACAAATCATAGCCTTAGATCTATGGGATTTCCGGACGCATCTGCTGGGGGAAGGTCCAAATCCAAATGGTCTCCACCCAGAATTGTACAGTATTCTTCTCTATTTTCATATTATTACATATTAGCTCTCTGGTCTAATTCAAAAAAAATATATATATATATATAAAATAAGAAAAATGTTTGGGAGTTCTAAATTATAAGCTCTAGCGGGTGGGTTCCATTCATTGATGTGATGTTTTGACTTTAGATTTTTTTTTTGAATTTCTATCTTATTAGTGCTCAATTAATGCTTCCAAATTAATAAGATGAATCATTGCTGATAAAATAATGATTAGGAGAAATATACACATAATATGCATTACTTATATGGTAAGAATTTTATTTGTCAAATCCATGATCTTGATTTAAAGACCTCTCATCCACTTAATATTGATAGATGTTTGTAACATATTAATTTTTTTAACTAGAATTACAATCTCAAAAGACAATCAAATGGACCAGACTCATCTCTTAGTTTTCAAATAATTTTAAAAAAAATATTATTTAGATTATTTATATTTCATAAATTATAAGGAACTCATACAAATCTTATACATAATTCAATATATACAGGCAGCTCATATAACTTTAAAAATAATAATCAATAGTCAGAAATATCTAGTATTATAAGAATTATTTATAAAGCTTAACCGATTTATTTGTAAAATTGTAATTTGTTGGAAATGGTTATAAAATTCTGGGTAAAATCAAAAAAAAATTCTTAAGTTTGGTCTATTTTTTAGATGGGCTCCGTGGGTCGATTTTCACGAGTCAAAGTGGTAACGCATTTTATGCCGCGTTGTGACTCACGTGGTATATTTGGTTGGTCAAAACCATTACCGA